TCAGCGAAATCATGACCAGTACATAACAATAGCGATGTCATGACGTGTACTATGCAGCACTAGCGATGTCACGTCGTGTAGTATACAGCACTAGCGATGACACGACGTATAGTGTACAGCATTTGCGAAATCATGACCAGTACATAACAATAGCGATGTCATGACGTGTAGTATGCAGCACTAGCGATGTCACGGCATGTTGTTTACAGCACTAGCGATGTCACGACGTAGTATACAGCACTAGCGATGTCACGACGTAGTGTACAGCACTAGCGATGTCACGACGTAGTATACAGCACTAGCGATGTCACGGCCTGTTGTATACAGCACTAGCGATGTCACGGCCTGTTGTATACAGCACTAGCGATGTCACGACGTAGTATACAGCACTAGCGATGTCACGGCCTGTTGTATACAGCACTAGCGATGTCACGGCCTGTTGTATACAGCACTAGCGATGTCACGACGTAGTATACAGCACTAGCGATGTCATGACGTGTAGTATACAGCACTAGCGATGTCACGACGTGTAGTATTGGCACTAGCGATGTCACGACGTAGTATACAGCACTAGCGATGTCACGACGTAGTATACAGCACTAGCGATGTCACGACGTGTAGTATACAGCAGTGGCGATGTCACGGCCTGTTGTATACAGCACTAGCGATGTCACGACGTGTAGTATACAGCACTAGCGATGTCACGACGTAGTATACAGAACTAGCGATGTCACGACGTAGTATACAGCAGTAGCGATGTCACGACGTGTAGTATTGGCACTAGCGATGTCACGACGTGTAGTATACAGCACTAGCGATGACACGGCGTATAGTGTACAGCATCAGCGAAATCATGACCAGTACATAACAATAGCGATGTCATGACGTGTAGTATACAGCACTAGCGATGTTACGGCATGTTGTTTACAGCACTAGCGATGTCACGACGTAGTATACAGCACTAGCGATGTCACGACGTAGTATACAGCACTAGCGATGTCACGACGTGTAGTGTACAGCACTAGCGATGTCACGACGTGTTGTATACAGCACTAGCGATGTCACGGCGTGTTGTATACAGCACTAGCGATGTCACGACGTAGTATACAGCACTAGCGATGTCATGACGTGTAGTATACAGCACTAGCGATGTCACGACGTGTAGTATTGGCACTAGCGATGTCACGACGTGTAGTATACAGCAGTAGCGATGTCACGACGTAGTATACAGCACTAGCGATGTCACGACGTAGTATACAGCACTAGCGATGTCACGACGTGTAGTATACAGCACTAGCGATGTCACGGCCTGTTGTATACAGCACTAGCGATAACACGACGTGTAGTATACAGCACTAGCGATGTCACGACGTAGTATACAGCACTAGCGATGTCACGACGTGTTGTATACAGCACTAGCGATGTCACGACGTGTAGTGTACAGCACTAGCGATGTCACGACGTGTTGTATACAGCAATAGCGATGTCACGGCGTGTTGTATACAGCACTAGCGATGTCAAGACGTAGTATACAACACTAGCGATGTCACGACGTAGTATACAGCACTAGCGATGTCACGACCTGTTGTATACAGCACTAGCGATGTCACGGCCTGTTGTATACAGCACTAGCGATGTCACGACGTAGTATACAGCACTAGCGATGTCACGGCCTGTTGTATACAGCACTAGCGATGTCACGGCCTGTTGTATACATCACTAGCGATGTCACGACGTAGTATACAGCACTAGCGATGTCACGACGTGTTGTATACAGCACTAGCGATGTCACGACGTGTAGTGTACAGCACTAGCGATGTCACGACGTGTTGTATACAGCAATAGCGATGTCACGGCGTGTTGTATACAGCACTAGCGATGTCACGACGTAGTATACAGTACTAGCGATGTCACGACGTAGTATACAGCACTAGCGATGTCACGACCTGTTGTATACAGCACTAGCGATGTCACGGCCTGTTGTATACAGCACTAGCGATGTCACGACGTAGTATACAGCACTAGCGATGTCACGGCCTGTTGTATACAGCACTAGCGATGTCACGGCCTGTTGTATACATCACTAGCGATGTCACGACGTAGTATACAGCACTAGCGATGTCATGACGTGTAGTATACAGCAGTAGCGATGTCACGACGTGCAGTATTGGCACTAGCGATGTCACGACGTAGTATACAGCAGTAGCGATGTCACGACGTAGTATACAGCAGTAGCGATGTCACGACGTAGTATACAGCACTAGCGATGTCACGACGTAGTATACAGCAGTGGCGATGTCACGACGTGTAGTATACAGCAGTAGCGATGTCACGACGTAGTATACAGCACTAGCGATGTCACGACGTAGTATACAGCATTAGCGATGTCACGACGTGTAGTATACAGCACTAGCGATGTCACGACGTGTAGTAAACAGCATTAGCGATGTCACGACGTAGTATACAGCAGTAGCGATGTCACGACGTGTAGTATTGGCACTAGCGATGTCACGACGTGTAGTATTGGCACTAGCGATGTCACGACGTGTTGTATACAGCACTAGCGATGTTATTACTTGCCATTTCTAACGTTTTTAGAATTATGCTGTTGAGTGTGAATAGGCTGACACCTACACGATCCACGGCATAATCCAATTGAATTTAACAGAATAATACTTCAAACACGTCAAAAGTTGAAACGTATGAAGTTAATACCATACAACGGTCCACCTTCCGAATTCAGGCGTCCGTTCCACAAAATTATCGTAGCGCTAAGGTTATCGCAACTCACATACTAGCTCTTTAACATAACTTCTTTCAGTGGCATTTAGAAGTTGGTGTGATGAAGAAAGACAATTTCTATGGATGAACAACTTCTTTATTACAATTAGTGCGACGTTTCGATGTAGATCCTAACACCTTTATCAAGCAAGTGATGGATAGTGCTTACTTACTTACTTACTTTGGAGATTTAACGTGCTGAACAACAAAGGTATATATACTTATTAACATCAATGTTTATACAGTAAATTGATTGATGGACACAGAGAGATGATTAAGATGATTGGAAGCCAGTGAATGACTCATAGGACAGGGTAAACAACCTCGGAGGCTGATTGGGACGATAGGAAGCCAGTGAATTGTCTAATGGACACAGAGTCAGCAAGCAGACTGATAGAGATGATTTGAAGTCAGTGGATTAATTGGATGGACATAAGGATTTAGCAATTAGGTGATGGTAAGCAGGCGGGATGTAGTAGCCTTGATCTCTGTTCATTGCTGGTTGGATCCTTTTGATGTAGACGGCTTCTAGGAGCTTTCTGATTTTGTAGTCTTGGGTTTCTCAGTGCCTACCACAGGCCCGCTTTACTGGTCATCGATGGCAAGTTGACAGGTGTACGGTATCGTGGCGAAGTTATCCGGCTCCATATCCTAAATTGTTATTGTACATAATTTAGTTCAAACATGATAAACGAATTGATTTCCCTTCGCCATACCCCAGCCCATATTTACATCGCGATAGGTATACATGTACAACGTGGTGTATACTTACCCCTAGGAACATACTTAATGGGCCGACAGTCATTAATTGTTTTCCTTTTTTCTCGAAAGGCAGCGGATTAAACAGTTAATTCAAACACACTATTGAGAAACTATGACGACATGGTGTAGGCAAAGAAATGAAATTTTTATGTTGCTTGTGAATCTTTACCTTCACAGAGCTAAATTTAGAATCAGATTTTTCCCTGGACATGCGTTGAAATGCGTTGATGCGTGGCATGTTTTATATGAGCCGCACACTGGTGTTATTGTCTAAATATATGCTAACCTCTTTAATGCGTGTAGTATCGTTTGTTTAAATGAGTGAATGAGTATGGTTTTACGCCGCTTTTAGCAATATTCCAGCAATATCACGGCGGGAGACACCAGAAATGGGCTTCACAAATTGTACCCGTGTCAGGAATCGAACCCGGATCTTCTGCGTGACGAGCGAACGCTTTAATCACTAGGCTACCAGACCGCCCCTCGTTTGTTTAAGACATTAAAGGAAGTCATCGGACGGACCTAAAAGCCAGAGCACTTAACACTTAAATAAGTATCAATTCTCTTTCTGCATACGACAGCAGTGTTGTAATTTTGTTTTCTTGTAATCGCTGTGACAAGGTGACAGACGTCATTTTGTGTGAAACAAACTTAAAATTCAAAAGTTAATTAAAGTGTACAATATAATTTTTTCTTTACAATATTTTTGGAAAATTATTAAATGAAAGCGTCACAACCCTTGTCATAGCTGAAAGAAATTTCTGCCAAAAGCAGAATCGTTTGTACGATTCCGACTGTATTAAGACTGACTGACTGAGTATGGTTTTACGCCGCTTTTAGCAATATTCCAGCAATATCACGGCGGGGGACACCAGAAATGGGCTTCACACATTGTACCCATGTCGGGAATCGAACCCGGGTCTTCGGCGTGACGAGCGAACGCTTTAACCACTAGGCTACCCGACCGCCCCGACTGTATTATGAGCATGTATCACTATCAAATAGTGATAATACCAAGTGTTTGCGAAAAGGCAAGTCAAGTTGCATTGGACATAATGTTTGTCACTGATGCGTCAAATGTGGAATATCCTCAATATGTCGTCCATAAAACATATTGAAAGCTTTTCTTGGGCCTTGAATGTTGTAGCCTTGAGTAAACAACTTTTAGGTTGGAACCTGAGGTTTTGGATTTTTACGTGAAACATATTTCTGCAAGCCAAATAGACCAGACGCTCTCTTCCAGGTGTACGTTACAAGTCAGGATATTATCATCAGTTTAAACTGTGCATGTACATACTTAGAGGTTGTTATATGTCAGTTTTCATATCATTTACCATATCAACACCAGAGTCGCCCACATCAACACCAAAGGTCAGATGGCTGATATGAAGATATGCCTCATGTCTAATGACGGGTATATTACAAAATCACATCTCACTTAAGTGCAAAGTACAGAGTACATTCCCTGTGGACACCTTATATATGCGTTACCCGATACCTCTTTCCCCTTAAAAATCACCCTGTATAAAACTGTAGCTGCCACGGATCACAACAGCATTCATCAGGGCTGGACATAGATGACTGGACGGCCCAACATGAAGACACTTCTGATTCTCTCCTTAGTCGCTGTACAGAGTCTCACAGGTACAGTTGTGTATGATAATACAGATTTCTTCCTTATGGTGGCCGAGAGGGGACACGCTTTGTCACTTTCAATTACGACAGAGAGAAAGGGTAACGCTTGTCGAGAAAGCAATAGCACGAGACGAGAAAGCTTACCTCAATGTCAGCCCACATGTATCCTTCGTACACCAAATTTTGCAGTTGTCCTTGCAAGAAACTCGGGAGCAGATTTTTTGCACTTGGGTGGCTGGCTACGTGATGTTTTTTTATGTCCATAGAGCATACAGTTTCTGCATTGTGTTGACCTATTCCTGTATGACATAGTTTCTATATCCTTACCACCAAGATTAAGGTGACCCAGGACTGACTGGCCGAATATTACTACTCGTGTTTTGGTTGTGCCCATTGATTTGATCATGAACGCCGATAGGATTGTTGCTTGTGTGATTTTCTTTTGGGCTTGACAGACAAGTTGATGAAGCTGGTCGTCGGTGATGTTTTGGCCAGCTGTACAACGCACATGATGTTTGAAGTATCTCATTTAAGTTTGATTTAGTTAATGCTTTTGGGCATGTCAATTGATTGTGTAAGGTTGTTGTTCTCCACAACAACGTAGCCTCTTCCACACTTATCAATTCTAAAAATATTTTTGTGTTTCAGTTCTTTGGCAATATCTTGAGCTGTTAGGATCTTATAAAGAAGTCCCATTTTTTGTGATCTATTATTCTGTTGTGTCTTTGCCTCTGATGAGAACATTCTTGGTCTTTTCTGTTCAAATTTAGCCATGGTTGAGCTGAATTCAGTCTGTTTTCGTTTAAGCAAGCCTTGAGCCCAGAGGCCACAAACATCGATTATTTATTTGTTTTTATTTCCTGAGAACGTGAATCTGCCTTAAAAACCCTCAGGGATATTTAGTGCGGCTTGACTATAAGTCTTGTATGTTTTTGTTTTTTTACAGTTTTGTTCTGGTGACCCTACAGTTGGGTTGGGCTGACCCTTTCGTGAATTTTAGATCGGAACCGTTTTGACACTTATGTGATTGACAAGAATCAGGAAATACATGATTTCGAATTGTCACGCTTGCATCCCAAGTACCAAGTTGTCCGAGACTACCCGGGTTTGCTACCAGAAAAACAGCCCTTCTGACAATCTTGGTAATGCAGAAGGCTGCAGTGTTGGGGAATCTCCGAAAAGTTCTGGGTTGGTTTGACAAGGAAGCGCTTCCTGGGAGAAGTCCAAATTTGCTATCTGGGCTGCGTGTAGAGTGGGCAATGGCCCTGAGCTGATGAGTCTAACTAGCCTTAGCCAGGATCACCCAAACCGTCTTTGCTGCATTCTTTTCATTTTGATGTGTACATTTTCTTTATATTTCATCATTTCTGCCGACCAGATTTTTCTGTAAACAAAACATAGGGCATGTAACACAATCGTCTGGCCTACACATCGAAAACAATCAACAAAGCTTCATATATGGACTAGGGGCGGTTGGGTATCCTAGTGGTTAAAGCGTTCGCTCTTTGCGCCGAATGCCCTGGTTCGATTCGCCATAGTGGTACCATATGTGAAGCTGGTGTCTCACGCCGTGATATTGCTTGAATATTGCTAAAACAATACTCACTCACTCACTCACATATGGACCCGTAAAATAATTCCCAGATTGCATTCTGTGTCAAGTGTCAAACGATGTCTTTTCTTCTGCAATGCCTTAAACAGAAAACCCATGCCTGCTCTGCCCCTACTAAATACATAAAGTAAACGTGATTCCTTGTGAACGACAAGTACGATTACTTGGTGTCAGTGTATACATAAATCAATGAATTCAATATAATATAATAGATGATAGTTCAATGACATTCAACTAAAACTGTTTAAATAAATAGATTTATGGGTATATGCCAGACTGAGTCTTTATCTGAGGGATACAAGTGATGCTTACATTGATGATCAGATGTGAGAGAATGTGTAAGTACACACGGTTATATCTGAGGATGTGCCCCACAGTCATTTGACGCACAAAACAACAACAACAACAACAATCCATCCATCCATCCATCCATCCATCCATCCATCCATCCATCCATCCATCCATCCATCTATCTATCTATCTATCTATCTATTTATCTAATAGTATCTATCTATCTGTCTAATATTAGCAATCACCATCTTTCTTTTATCAGTTTTATCGGATGGTGGATGCGTTGCCTGCAAGGAAGGGGCTCCAGTTTGTAACACTACATATACGCCACCAGGGCCAGTCCCGGAAGCCTGCAACACTGTTCGTAAGTTGTTCATGTCTTAATGATGGAAGACAAGGACAAGCGCACACGAAAGTGAAACTACTTTTCTGGTTTACTCTCATGACGTATGGTATACAATACTAACGGTCTCGCCGCATGTGGTATATAACGTGGCGTTACAAGCAACCACGTGTTTTAGCCGTTTCCTGCATGATCTCAGAGGTCATGCTGTGTATGTTAAACAGGCACAGTGAAAGTTGTATTGAGAAGAATGGTCCTCATCTTATATTCTCTACGGTTTGAGTAAAATATTGGATCTGACGATTTAAACAGTTTGAATTTTTCGTTTCAGATTTGGATCTGTGCAGGAAATACGGTGATTACAAACTTTCCTGTTACTATGGAGACGAGTTTCATAGCAGTTCGTTCGACTGCACCGTGTCATGCATCAGCTCCACAATATCAATCCCTTCCTTGACAACACTGTTCCTGACATCTGCAGTTCTTACTCTGTTTATGAAATCGGTGTAGTAACTGGCTGCCATTGTTTGGCTCTGAAGTGGAATGTACCAATACACAGACTGCCATCACCGCCTTAGAGAGAAATGTAATCAAATTACTTTGTCGGAAACTCACAAAGTATGACAACAAGTAACAAATATAATTGACAAATATAAACTATAGTCATGGCATTTGATGATCTGCCGTTACAGTAATGCTGTTTATGGACTCAAAGCAATGCAGATACATAAATACTCTGATACAAATTAATAAATAAAAATGAACGTATAAAAAAGAACTTGTTTCTTCACCTCATGTCTGAGAGAAGGAGTATTATTGTATCGTTTTGCAGAAATTAAAATGAGAGAAACTAGTACTTGCTTATTCAGGAGTTGAACTGCACCAGACATACATGTATGTTTTCCTAAAATGGAGCGGGTGTCATTAACCCTGTGTTATATCCCCAAAGGTATTTAACCTACTCCTACATTTAAACATCTCAATGTATAGTACCCCTGACTCCAGCCCACACGTCCTTGTTCTCCGGTGGTTAACTAGCAAAAGAGGTGTGAGGTGAGGTGAAATAGGGTTTAACGTCGCGTCCAAAATAAGTGCACTTATATAGCGACGTGCATGCACGTGTATGTGTGTGTGTGTGGCTGCTTGTACTAGTCCGGACTGATGCCGATTTATAGTGCTAGCACACTGAGATACCATGCCACTGTTTTACATGAATACCCCACTCAAACACAGTATACAGACTCCAAGCCGACCAGTCCTTGTTTTAGCCCCTTAATGCCGAGCGCCAGACAGGGTAACAACAAGTACCATCTTTTAACGTATTTTGGTATGACGCGGCCTGGGATCGAACCCCGGACCTTCCGCTCCCCGAGCGGACGCTCTACCATTAGACCACAGAGGCGGTCCAACTAGCAAAAGAGGCGGTAATAGCGCGCTCGCGATGCACGTGAAATCATGACATACGTCACCAGATTATGTCACGAGTAGATCACATGACATATCATTTGATACTATTGTTAAGAGATCTCTAAACATAACAATCTGAAGTCTCTACAATTATATCATATTGTTATATAGAGGTCTGGGCTTTTTAACGTATTTAGACAATTGATAACCATTCAACGAAATGCCTTTCAGTTGTTTTCAACATATTCGACATATCCTCTGAAATCACTGAGTTCATTAATCTGTAATGTCACGAATATGACCACAGCAATGGCCTCTGTGACACTTGGACACAGGATATTTGTTTGACTTTCGAGCATTAATGCATGCCTACCACCATTTCTTTTATACTAGCGCATCGAAATGGTAAAAATCTCCGATTAATGCTTGCTTCCCTTTCGAATAGGATAATGAAACTTGAAGTGAATAGTTTGTCCCAGAACCCAAAGAATGTACCTTTAGAGAAGTATTTACATCAGAAATCTCCTCTCCACAACTCTGCGAGGCGGGGAGGTCTGTATCAGAAGATAAATTCAACAGTTCCATTTAAGATGAAGAAAAAAAATGATAGTCATCTGTTATATGGCTGTGGAATTTATTGTCTTACAATTTTAAACCTTTTGAGCTAACACAAAGATTATCACGTCATACTACGGCATCATCAGTTATCGCAATATACAGACAAACAACAAAGGAATTGGAAGGTCAGTTTTCACGTCAGACAGCAGTCACAAAAAATAGATGTCACTGAATACAGTTTGGAGCTGGATTGTGCATCGTCTACTTTAGGAAAAATTGTATCACTGACATAGTTTAACCTCATGTACGTGGCATCATCAGCAGTCCCAGTATATACAGATACACACCATAGGAATTGGTATGTCAGTTTCATGTCATACACATGGCATCATCAGCAGTCCCAGTATATACAGATACACACCATAGGAATTGGTGTGTCAGTTTCATGTCATACACATGGCATCATCAACAGTCCCAGTATATACAGACACACACCATAGGAATTGGTGTGTCAGTTTCATGTCATACACGTGGCATCATCAGCAGTCCCAGTATATACAGATACACACCATAGGAATTGGTATGTCAGTTTCATGTTATACACATGGCATCATCAACAGTCCCAGTATATACAGATACACACCATAGGAATTGGTGTGTCAGTTTCATGTTATACACATGGCATCATCAACAGTCCCAGTATATACAGATACACACCATAGGAATTGGTGTGTCAGTTTCATGTCATACACATGGCATCATCAGCAGTCCCAGTATATACAGATACACACCATAGGAATTGGTGTGTCAGTTTCATGTCATACACATGGCATCATCAGCAGTCCCAGTATATACAGATACACACCATAGGAATTGGTATGTCAGTTTCATGTTATACACATGGCATCATCAACAGTCCCAGTATATACAGATACACACCATAGGAATTGGTGTGTCAGTTTCATGTCATACACATGGCATCATCAGCAGTCCCAGTATATACAGATACACACCATAGGAATTGGTGTGTCAGTTTCATGTCATACACATGGCATCATCAGCAGTCCCAGTATATACAGATACACACCATAGGAATTGGTGTGTCAGTTTCATGTCATACACGTGGCATCATCAGCAGTCCCAGTATATACAGATACACACCATAGGAATTGGTATGTCAGTTTCATGTTATACACATGGCATCATCAACAGTCCCAGTATATACAGATACACACCATAGGAATTGGTGTGTCAGTTTCATGTCATACACATGGCATCATCAGCAGTCCCAGTATATACAGATACACACCATAGGAATTGGTGTGTCAGTTTCATGTCATACACGTGGCATCATCAGCAGTCCCAGTATATACAGATACACACCATAGGAATTGGTGTGTCAGTTTCATGTCATACACATGGCATCATCAACAGTCCCAGTATATACAGATACACCCCATAGGAATTGGTATGTCAGTTTCATGTTATACACATGGCATCATCAACAGTCCCAGTATATACAGATACACACCATAGGAATTGGTGTGTCAGTTTCATGTCATACACGTGGCATCATCAGCAGTCCCAGTATATACAGATACACACCATAGGAATTGGTATGTCAGTTTCATGTTATACACATGGCATCATCAACAGTCCCAGTATATACAGATACACACCATAGGAGCTGGTATGTCAGTTTCATGTCATACACATGGCATCATCAGCAATCCCAGTATATACAGATACACACCATAGGAATTGGTGTGTCAGTTTCATGTCATACACATGGCATCATCAGCAGTCCCGGTATATACAGATACACACCATAGGAATTGGTGTGTCAGTTTCATGTCATACACATGGTATCATCAGCAATCCCAGTATATACAGATACACACTAAGGAATTGGTATGTCAGTTTCATGTTATACACATGGCATCATCAGCAGTCCCAGTATATACAGATACACACCATAGGAATTGGTGTGTCAGTTTCATGTCTTACACATGGCATCATCAGCAGTCCCAGTATATACAGATACACACCATAGGAATTGGTGTGTCAGTTCCATGTCATACACATGGTATCATCAACAGTCCCAGTATATACAGATACACACCATAGGAATTGGTGTGTCAGTTTAAAGTTATACACGTGGCATCATCAACAGTCCCAGTATATACAGATACACACCATAGGAATTGGTATGTCAGTTTCATGTCATACACGTGGCATCATCAGCAGTCCCAGTATATACAGATACACACCATAGGAATTGGTATGTCAGTTTCATGTCATACACATGGCATCATCAGCAATCCCAGTATATACAGATACACACCATAGGAATTGGTGTGTCAGTTTCATGTCATACACGTGGCATCATCAGCAGTCCCAGTATATACAGATACACACCATAGGAATTGGTATGTCAGTTTCATGTCATACACATGGCATCATCAGCAATCCCAGTATATACAGATACACACCATAGGAATTGGTATGTCAGTTTCATGTCATACACGTGGCATCATCAGCAGTCCCAGTATATACAGATACACACCATAGGAATTGGTATGTCAGTTTCATGTCATACACATGGCATCATGATCAACAGTCCCAGTATATACAGATACACACCATAGGAATTGGTGTGTCAGTTTCATGTCATACACATGGCATCATCAGCAATCCCAGTATATACAGATACACACCATAGGAATTGGTGTGTCAGTTTCATGTCATACACATGGCATCATCAGCAATCCCAGTATATACAGATACACACCATAGGAATTGGTGTGTCAGTTTCATGTCATACACATGGCATCATCAGCAATCCCAGTAGATACAGATACACACCATAGGAATTGGTATGTCAGTTTCATGTCATACACATGGTATCATCAGCAATCCCAGTATATACAGATACACACTAAGGAATTGGTATGTCAGTTTCATGTTATACACATGGCATCATCAACAGTCCCAGTATATACAGATACACACCATAGGAATTGGTGTGTCAGTTTCATGTCATACACATGGTATCATCAGCAATCCCAGTATATACAGATACACACTAAGGAATTGGTGTGTCAGTTTCATGTTATACACATGGCATCATCAACAGTCCCAGTATATACAGATACACACCATAGGAATTGGTGTGTCAGTTTCATGTCATACACATGGTGTCATCAGCAAGCCCAGTATATACAGATACACACCATAGGAATTGGTATGTCAGTTTCATGTCATACACATGGTGTCATCAGCAAGCCCAGTATATAGAGATACACACCATAGGAATTGGTATGTCAGTTTCATGTCATACACATGACATCATCAGCAATCCCTGTATATACCGATACACACCATAGGAATTGGTGTGTCAGTTTCATGTCATACACATGGCATCATCAACAGTCCCAGTATATACAGATACACACCATAGGAATTTTGTGTCAGTTTCATGTCATACACGTGGCATCATCAACAGTCCCAGTATATACAGATACACACCATAGGAATTGGTTTGTGAGTTTCATGTTATACACGTGACATCATCAACAGTCCCAGTATATACAGATACACACCATAGGAATTGGTGTGTCAGTTTCATGTCATACACATGGTATCATCAGCAATCCCAGTATATACAGATACACACCATAGGAATTGGTGTGTCAGTTTCATGTCATACACATGGCATCATCAACAGTCCCAGTATATACAAAATACAGATACACATAAAAGGAATTTAAATGTCAGTTTCATGTCATACACATGGCATCATTAGCAATCCCAGTACACTAAACTACGGTTATAACGAACACGCTTATAACGAACTGACGGATATAACGAACTTACTTTTTGGTCCCGA